TCTGCTTTCCTAAACTTCCTTTCTGGAACGCTGAGCTTGTGGGGCAAAGTCGAACGCCGCAGTCAGCAACATGGAAGCATCATTCAACCATAGACGACTGTCCCAGTGAAAATGTTAAAACAATTGTGTATTAGGTTAAAATTGCCCATATGTGACGTTTTTTTATTAACCTGCAAAAATGACAATTTCATGTGATTCATAGTTTTATATCTTGGTACTTTTGTTCCTATAGGTCTCTATAGACTGAAAAGTCCTCTTCTTCATATTATCCTTCCTGTCACACAGATCCTTGTTCACTCACTTTCCAACCTGTAGTGTTGAAATATAATTCATCCTTCATGATGCAAAGCAAATGGCACCTTTCCTGGGACTCTTTGCTCATCCCTCCCAAAGAAATTAACACCGCCTCCTGTTTACTCCCCAGGCACTTTGCTGGTGCTTCATTAGATGTTTTCCTTTTTCAAAATTCTGCCTTAAGTTTTAGGTAGCTGTTTAATCTCCTCCCACATTAATCTACAAACTCTTTGAGAGGCAAGACTGACTGTTATGCTCTGAGGTGCCCTGGAAACTAGTACCAGGCTTTGTGTAAAGTAAATCCTAAAAAAAACTTTTTTGTCGTTGTTGAATCAGCAAATGAATGAATGAAGGAATGATTGCAGCAGGAGCGGGCATGGCCATCCCACAGAGAGACTACAGCATTCAAGCTCCTCCAAGTCTTGGGGCCTTGATGTTCAAGGGCCTCAAGAGACCACCTGGAAGCCACAGCAGCCCCCCGCGTTTGGTGTGTTTGTGTGCAACCATAGTCCTTCCTTCTCACCACCCCCCCCCGCCCCCCCATGGCCCCAGATGTTCAGTCCCAGCCGGCAGGCTTAACCTGCAAACAGGCTGCCTTTGCGGGAGGTCGGGCTACTTGCTTCCCCAGTGAGACTCCACTGGGGGAAGTCCGCTCTTGCCAAATCCTCTGTGGTGCCCTGCCAAGTTGAAAATCATTTGCTACCCCAGGCTCAGGGACAGTTCAAGCTGCCCCAGAAGGGCTGCCCAGAACATTCCTATGTTGTGAAATTTCCTTTTCTGGGGGCACTGGGTGTCATGGGAAATCTGAAATGCCAAACAGCTGTTCACCTCTTGGTGTGGGATGGGACTGTCCCCAAGCCCTGTAATGCTCCTCCACCACTAGGGAGCTTGGAGGAGGGACCCAGGCCCTCCTGGGAATGTGTCATGTCTTGTCCCAGGTTCAGATTAATTCCTCGCCTCAGGAATTTCAGACGAAATTCCATACACAGATGAGACTCAAAACTGTGATTCCCCTTCTAAATAATCCTTTTATGTATTCCGTATTCCCATAATCCATATGTAATTTAGAGACAGAATCACAGTTTTTACTTTTCCTCTCAAATAAGAACATTTTGGACACCAAACTAGGACAGTTTTCAATATGTCTTTGTTATAAAGAGTAAGCATTTAAAAAATTCAACTTTAGAAATAATGAAACAAATGTGAATCAAAACAATACCATTTCAACTGATATATATATATATATATATATTTATTTATTTATTTTTTTAAGATTTTTATTGGGGAATTGGGGGGATGGGAACAGTGCTGAGGAATTGGGGGAAGAGAAACAGACAAGTTGCTGTCCTTTTGTTCTTCAGTCTAGTTGTGGAGGACGTTGCTTCACTGGCCCAAGTCGGCACCATCAATGCGCTCTTCCCAGGTGAGGCAGATCAGTCGCCGTCTTCTGGACGGCCACTCACTGCGGCTGCTGGCCGCTCACGCTGGCTGCTGACTACACGGTAACCCATGGCAACCCATGGCAACCCACTGCCACAGGGGCTGCAGCCTACACTGTCGCCGGCGACTCACGGCAGCCCAGCTCCAGGTTGAGCTGTTGTTCAGCATCTTAGCTGTGGAGGGCAGTGTCACTGGCCCTCATATGTGGGATCCGAACCGGGGCCCTCTGGCGTCCCAAGCCAGTTCTTAACCATCGCGCCACTGGGCCGGCCCTGGTATATTTTTTTAAATTGACAATTGCCAATGCTGGTGAGGTTGTGGGAAAATGAACACTGCCAATGAGACTATAATTTGGAATAACGTTCTTGGTGGGCAACTTGAGGTATATAAAAAGGCCCTAAAATGTGCATTTCTTTTGATCCAGCAATTTCATTTCCAGTAATTTATCCTAAGGAAATAATTTAAAATGCTATCAAACCATTGGTTAAAAGAGTAAAAAAAAAAAAAAAAATTGGCAACCGGAAAGTCCTAATTACCAATAATAGAAAACTTTGCAGCCATTGAAGTGATGAAGATGAGTGTTTTATGGGATTGCAATAGATTGTAAAGTTTTTTTAAAAACCAAAATACTATCTAAAAGTGATTTTTTTTTAAAGATTTTATTGGGGAATTGGGGGGAGGGGAACAGACAGGTAGACAAATTGCTATTTTGTTCTTCAGTTTAGTAGTGGAGGACGTTGCTTCACTGGCCCATGTTGGTATGATCATTGTGCTCTTTCCGGGTTCATTCGCTCTTCCTGGGTGAGGCAATCGATCGCCAGTCATTGGTAGGCCGCTCACAGCAGCTCCCGGTAGCTCACACCAGCTACCAGCCGCTCACGCTGGCTGCCAGCCACTCACGTAGCTCATGGCAGCCCACTGCAGCCCTGCTGCAGCCTACGCCGTCGCTGGCAACTCACAGCAGCCCAGCTCCAGGTCGAGCTGTTGTTCATCATCTTAGCTGTAGAGGGCACAGTGTCACTGGACCTCAATGTGGGATCTGAACCGCAGCCATGCTGCTCAGAGCTGGCACTCCCAAGCGAGCTCTTAACCAGCTGAGCCACTCGGCTGGCCCTAAAAGTGACCTTTTTGAAGAAGAAAATATATATATGTATAGGCATAGAAAAAAGAACATTACCAGTAGGAGGTGGCAGTGTGGGTGATGTTAATTTTCTTCCTACTGAAGTAACGTATGTATTACTTTGGCATATTTAAGATATTTTAAAGTAGTCTGAGAAAGACCCTGAGAGATTGTTCCTACTTGTGTTGCTGTCTGTGGGTGTCAACTTTCCAAGCTGGGAGGTTGGGGTTCAGCAGCAGGGCAGGAAATTCCTGGTCTCTCCTCCCATCCACCTTTCCCAACCTGAGGCAACCACTTCAAAGACAGTCCTCCCCCAGCAGCTCTGCAGGGTTTGTGGGCTTTGTTATCTTTGTCGCCACCCTCCACCTGCCATCAAGAGAAAGGCAACCACCTCAGGGTTGACCCCATGTTGACAAGTCTCGCTTCTCCACCATTCCTTACCTGATGGGACATGTTTATGCCTGTTTCCAGAGACAGTAACTTACCGGTCACTGAAATAGGCAGTCTTTCCTTTCTCTCTCTCTCTCTCTCTCTCTCTCTCTCTCTCTCTCTCTCTCTCTCTGTGTGTGTGTGTGTGTACAATTCATTCTGCTTTGTGAACGTCTTTCTTACCATGTTTTGCATAGTTTAAACGCCCCCACCACCGCCGGGCACCTCCCATTCTTTGAAACAAGGGCAGTTTATTATCCTAGTGAACCGTGTGCCATTTCCCTCCCCTGAAATTAAGTGTTCCTCTACCTGAAGCTCGCTGGTTAGAACGGAGACCCTGAAGGCAGAAGGAAAGCCGTGAGGGCCTAGAGAGCCAGGCAGCATCTGACGGTGTAAGAAAGGGGCAGGGAAAGGGGCCATGTTAGCCGAACTCCCTGGGTTTGCATGAAATCCTGGCTCCACCTTGGACAAGTTCATGTTCCTCTTTATGCCTCCGTCTCATTGTATGTGGCACGCGGCTACAGGCAATAATGGCACCTGCCTTGTAGAGTTGCTGTGTGGATTCCACACCAAGTGCTTAAGAACTGTGCTTGGTACATTGAAGTGCTTTTTAAGGATCAGCTATTATCACCATTACTTCCAGAAGCTGGTCAAGTGCTCTTCCCTTCCATTCTCCTGGCAACCAATGGCAGTGATGTTTGTGCGGATCCTCCTGAGGACTGGCACTACTGAGGGTAAGACTGGTGGTTGGCAGATGACCCTAAAATGTTTTCCCACCTGACACCGTGTCAGAGAAACACATCCTGTTACCCCCAGAGCAAGTTTAAGTGTGGCCTGATGTTTTTATCCCAAAGTACTCTGTATATCTCTCTGTTCACACCTTTACCACTCCCGTACTGTCAGCCCCTCCTAGGCAATGACCTCTTCATCTCTACGGCCTCTGCTCAAGCTGCCGTCTTCCCCACAAGACAAAAATATTTCTTACATGGTCTCGAGGTACAGTATGCTTTATCCCCCTAAATTCTCTCTTCCTAAGAGATGCAGAGAGCTCCTCCCCACCTCCACCCCTGCCAAATATAGAGATTACAAGTCATTCTGCTGCTTAAAATTGTTAAGGCACTTCCTGTTGCTCTTAGAATGAATTGTCCCAACCTGGCTCACGAGGGGCTCCACAACCTAGCCCCTGCCCCCTCCCTCAGCCCTGCCACGCAGCAGCACTAGACTCCTTTTGGTTTCGCAAACTGGATGTGCTTTCTTCCGCCTTTGCACCCAAACACGCAGTGTCCTGTCCCTTCACATCTCAGCTTGCATGCCACTTTGTCCAAAAGGAGCTTTCTGACTGCCCGCGCCCCCCTGTACTTCCCCATCATAACCGTCACTGCATACCGTCGCAGCTGTCTGCCTTCCCAGCACACTAGAGACCCGGGCGGGCCCCCAGCACATGGTCTGCTCACTGCCGAGTCCCAGCTTGAGCACAGCGGTTGGCACACTGAGAGCACTTAAAAAAAGAAATCTATTTCCACTTATGTTTGTGGTCTCTCTTCCTGGTAGCATAGACCACCTCCTTGTCTCCTGTCTTCCATCTGTTGCCAGGCACTTCTCTCCCCAGAGCTAGTACTTCATCCCTTTGTGAGCTCCTACCCACATACACTCTTTTCAATCTAGGGTTTCTACAAAAACTTTATGGAAGGATCGCATCTCTCACAACTGCCTCATTAAGAACTTTTTTTATTATTTAGAAATGCAGTTATATACATAGAACAATTAAAATTAAATTAAACTTTGTACAAATATTAAAATACTATCTTCACACCCACTGCAATGTACAGGATACCAAAAAAATATATATATATATCAAATAAAATAAGCAAACCCAAACTGATCGAGTGACATCCTGCAGAGTCAATGATGCATATGTCGTTATAAATCATTATATAGGAGTACCATTCTGCAAAAATTCCATAGTGGTGTGGTAAGAAGCCAGGGCAGGGGGCGGTGGGCAGCCACGCAACCTGCATCCATCTCTCCTCCCTGCTTGGCAATCCAAGTGCTTTGCCCCTGCACCCCACCCCAGAAAACTTTGCTGGCTCGACCTTGGGGTTTTCGTTAAAATTCTTCTAGGTTTTCAACTGGAGATTGAGTTGTTTCCCAGCAAAGTTGAGCCTGCTGCCTTTCCCTCTGCAGGGAACCAGCTCTTGTACCACTCAATCCACACATCTGCCAAGCAAAGTCCTCTCTGAGCCCTCTGGGCACCAGTAATGACTGTCTCTATGCGGTGAGCCAGGAGCCCCAGTAGGCCCCAGCAGAGAAGCTCCTAGCCTGTCCTCATCTGGAGTTCAGCTGGAAAGCCTGTATACCACTTCCCTTCTGGGCCCTTTATTCTCTTTAAGGAGGAAGAAAAAGAGGCAAGGATGAAGAAATATTTGCAGCATATTCCATTCTTGATGTAAGGATGTAACCTAGGAATGGAAGTGATATTGTTATGTGGGAAGCAAGTGGTCTGAGAGCTCAGCTGAGACTGGGAGGGGAAAGGCTGAGTGCTATTGATCCCTGTGTCACCACTTAGGAGGCAGGAAGAGTATAACTTTGTCTGTCTTGCCATCCAGCTTCTCCACAGAACTTTAAAGCAGGGGTGAGGGGTGGGGAGAGCAAGATGAATAGGGAAGATAACATTAATTCCAGTTGTTTGCAAATGGAGTTAGTAGAATGCATACTGAAATGCCTTATACAACCAAAGACTCACAAAGTGGCCAAGATTCAGCTCATTTCACAGTTTACACTGAGCGAAAGGGGATCACAGCACACAAAACTCAGAAATGGCGAATGATAGAGCCTATGTGCTAAACTGAGGCATTGAAAGGGGTGGAAATTTTGTGATTTTTCACCATATTCTGGCCCTTGTAAGTCGCTGGAATGTGACTACAAGTTGCCAGGACATAAAACCTGTACGGAGTCAGCTCAAGTGTGGGAAAAAAAAAAAAAAACCCTTTTAAAAAGTCCTTTGGTGCCGCCCTCCTCCTGGACAAGCCCTCTGCTGGCTCCCCTGGAGGTGAGCCCGGGAAAGCCAGGCTATGGACAGTTTTCCACCTGCTCCAGGCTCCTCCGGCAGCCTCCTTCCTAACAGCCCGCCACCTGACATCGGCCTGTCTCTCAGCCAGGCCCCACCTCAAAGCAGCTGTGAAGTCCCTAATCCCTTGCGAGGGACAAAGCCCAGAAGCCCCAGAAACGGCAGCACATGGCTGATGGCTAAGAACCTGCTTGGGGGGCGGGGGAAAGAAGGAACAGCTGTCGTGGGTGTCAGCAGCAATCAGGCCTGCCCTTGCACCCACAGGCCCAGGGCCTGGGGGAGGTGGGCCTCCTCAAAGCCAGTGACAGGTGGGGTGGGGGAAGGGAGGTTCCCATTTACCATGACTTCTTTCTTTCCCACCAGGTACACAAGTCTGGGCTTGTGACCCCAGGATGGTATTAATGGCTGGCTGGCTGGCTGGCTGGCGAGGGGGAAGAAAACTTCAGAAGGAAGGCTTTTCATTTTTGTCAAGGCTCAAGCTGGTAACCTATGTGGCTGAATAAACCTAAAACAAAAAGTGCAGTCTCTTAGAGAAAAAAAACCAAACCCAGAGTAATGGTATAAAAAGGGTAAGATCTTCTATTGTAAAAAACATTCTAGGCTAGAATTCAGATTTTGGAAGGTTGGAAATAAAAGCTGCAGGATTAGCAGTGACTTTGGATCCCCCACCATTTGCTCCTGCTTTTCTTTTGCAGGAAGACAAGGGTACCCCTGTGGGGAAGGAGAGCCCATGCATGGTGAGGCAGCTGGGATGCTAGGGACCCACCCCCCAGATGGGCCCAGGGCCAGCAATGGCTGGCAGGCACTCTCTGGAAATGGCCTCTTCTGAGGCCAAGGACAGCTCCCTGGTACACTTCATCTCCTTCAGAGGCCTCTGTGTTCTAGTTCTGGCACCTGCGACAACCTGTTCCCTATCTGGCCACGCCGGCCTGGGCTCCTGGGTGGGGAAGAGGAGCGAGGTGGGAGTGGCCAACAGGCACGGCAGGCACTGCCCTTACCCTGAGGAAGGAAGACTGCAAGTGGCGGCAAGAGGCCAGGACTGAGCGGGCAGTAAAGTGCGCGTGTGAGTGAAAGCAGGCGGCCGCGAGAAGGCCATCCCCTCATCTCTGAGGCCACCGCTCCTGGACCTACCCTGTACGTCAGGGGCTGAAAAGACACTGGGCTCTTGATTTTAACACCCCACACAGAGACTGAGGGAGGAGCAGAGGTGCAGCACGAGGTCAGCTTTGGAATTTCCCAGCCCCAATGCTTCAAAAACAGGGATTAGTTAATGCCACATCTTTGAAGATGGCAGCAACCTGGCTGAGCTCTGCCACCCCAGCCTTGTCAGCATAAGACACGGCTGAGGGGGAGGCCCCCGGCAGAAGCATCTGGAGCACTGAGCCCACTCCTCCCACACCAGGGCCCAGAGCCAGGCTGCTCTGTTGGCAACCATTCACCCACCGCAGGCCAGCAAGGTGGGAGTGTGTGAGGGCGGTCTCTCAGCCCCTCCCCCAGGGCCAGGGAAGACCAGGGAGTCGTTTGTCAGCTGTGACAGGAGCAGGGGATGGCAGGGGAGGCCAGAAGTAGGAAAAGCAGCAGTGCAGCAAGCAGCAGGATGCTTCCTGGGAACAGTTACTAAGGCACGTGACTGTGGTGAGGAGGACCCTCAGGGTGGGGCTGGAGCTGCCTGCAGCTGCCTGGGGACTCCGTCTGTGGCTCTCAGGTTCCCCTCCATCACCACGAACCCAGAACAGGGCAACCTGCCCCAACTGCCAGTGACCAGATGGGCATTCCGTGGCATCTCAGGGCTGATTCACCTTGGGCCTCTGTGGGCAGCAAGAAAGCAGGAACTGCCCAGGATAACACCCAGGAGGCAGCATGCAGCGTCCCTTATACTCCAGGGAAAGAGGAAAAACAGGCGAGGAAGGTCAATGCTGGAGTAGGAGGTGAGTACTTGCATATGAGGAAGACAGTCATTATCAGCCACCTTACTGCCCTCCTTTGGGGTCTTCTGGATGTTTTCTGGAAACTCAACTCAGCAGCGGCCAGGAGCCGCACCTCTGAGCTAGACAGCCAAGTGCTAGGACAGCTTTGGTAGGATTTCCCACATCCTCCATCCTCAGCCAGGGAAATGTGCCACCAGTGTCAACCAGGGGCAGGCCCAGGGACTCAAACTCTTGCCCCAATTAGAGCCACTCTTGTCTCCACAGCGCTCACTCTTGGATCTGCTTCTGCGAAGGGCAGCGGTGCCAGCCCTCAAAGAAAACAGGCCAGCCCCAGGCCCAGCCCCTTCTGTGGCAGGGGGCAGCAGTGCGACCACTAAGGCTTGTAGACAGCAACAAGCCTGCGTGCAGGGAAACTGGACGGGGTTGCGGGGAAGGCACAAGTAAACACAGCGGCTCTCAGGCCCATGTGGGCTGGTGGGGGCTGCTGCCAAAGAGCTGGCTGGAGGAGACCCAGAGGGCTCAGGGGAAGGAAGGGTTCAATCCAGCACATTCAAATACATCCCCGACACAGATGGGAAGGCTGGGCCAGGCAAAAAGCCAGCTCCTCCAGCTGTCCAGCAGGCAGATGGTGAGAATCTTCCTTGAGTTTCCAGAGAGGTGGGTCTGCAGGCCTCAGAGATCCACAGATCCACAGGTGGCAGCTCAGGTATCCGGGTAGGGCGGCTGGAGCACAGGGTGCTCAAACCCACAGGGAGAGAAGAAAGGGCAGAGAGGGCCATTGCAGAGGAGAGGCCAGTGGCAGCCCTCACGCTTCTTTCAACAGTGGGATATCTGCAGGAAGAGAAGGAAAGCACACTGGTTACCCCATGTGGGTCTCTCTACAGCACACCCGATCCCACTGCAGGGGCCCTCATGCAGCCCCTAGTTTAAAGAAATAAAATGCACTACTCATACACTTCTAGGTTGTTTAAATCCCTTGCCTCTTTTTTAGGCCTTTCTCACTCATCTCTCCCTCCGCCTACATGGTAAAATCAGAATATTCAATCTGGTATTCAAACCCCTTCTGCTCCCACAATTTGAACCTCTTCTCTGCCTAACTACTAGTGGAGCTGCTTCTCTTTCTGTCCTTAATCTCCCCCTCTAAGACTACAGAGCCTTGCTTAAGTCCTACCACCTCCTTAAAGCCATCCCCCAGCTGTATGATAGTGAATAAATGATTCCCCTCCCGGGGTCTCAGTCTCCTGATGCCTCAAGGTCCTGACTTCCTACAGAACTGTCAATCCCAGACAGCTAAGGCATGGCCTGCAATGAACACAATAGTCTATGTGTTTTGTTTTCTGAGCCTTTCATTCTGACACAGACCCCACAATTCTTGATTCCATTATTTCTTGAGTATAGTGCCCATCTTCCCAGCTGACTGACAACCCATGCAAGCAGAGAGCATGTTTCATGTTTCTGTGTATTACCCCTGCAACCTAATTTGGCACCAGGCACAAGCTGGGCTCTTGAAAATGCTTGTTTGATACATGAAAATAGCAAGGAGGAGAAGGAGGAAGAGCAGGCACCATCTTGGCTCCTCAGGAAGCATAAGGGCTGAGATTTGCACTAGGACATCTGTCAACATGTGTGGACACACAATATGTGTGCAGTTGGATACACAGTATGTGTGGCTGGCTGCCCATGGAGTCCGTGGCTTCTACCTTTAAACCTGGGTCAACTACTTAGTGGCCCTTCCTAGCTCTATATCCTACCAAGAAAAAAGAAGGCATATTGTTGATAATCAGGCAACTCCATAAAATGATCTGCATTTAAGAATTTCTAGCTTCTTTACCTTCAGATGTTCTAAACCTTAGGCACTTACCCAGCAGTCCCTGGAAGCATACATTTTTCTCTAAGGCTAGTTTAGGGAGACTTTGTAAGTGTAGAAGTCCTCACTATCAAAAAAGATACATCTAAGTTTTGTCTGCATCCTAAACCATACTGGGATTTCATGTAAAGGTATTTTTTAAAGTGACAGAGTCAATCCCCACATTCAACTCTCCAAGCTCCAGTAAAGGCCAGAGGTGTCAGGAGGTGGCAAGTTCATTCTATGGCTGGTTTGTTGCCACAAAGGACCTGGAGTCATCTGGGGGGCAGCATGGCATCGTAGGATTATAAACTCAGGCTTTGGAGCCAGATCTACCTGGTTTCAAATCCCAGCTCAGCCACTTACCTACAGGCAAGTGACTTACCCTCTTGGAGCCTCAGTTTCCCATCTGTAAAATGAGGATATAATACCTATTTCTCAGGACCAATGTGAGGTTTAATTGAGAAAGTGCAAGAAAACCAACCAACATAGGACCTGACATTCTCCTACTTAAAATGAAGTGGCTGAATGCTCTAGAAAAGAATCAGGCTTCAGTTTTTTCTGTAATATGACCCCATTATCTCCTTGTCATTCCTGTCCTTTCGGGAACAATTATAAAAAAAATTATAACAAGATGACAAACCCCCACCCCCAACCAGCTGTCTACCCTTTGATTTAGCACAGCCATGTGGCCATGAATAATTTTGGCGACTCCAAACTATTTAAATTCACAGATAACAGTGAAAGTCTCCCTATACAGAGCCCCAAAAACTACCTAGAGCTGAGGGTGAAATCCTATTTTGCAGGCTAATGCCCCAGGTATTATCTTTCTTTGCCACTCCCCAGCACACCCCTCCCTAATACACCAATTATTAGAGGCTCACAGTCCTTCCTCACTCCTAGTGAGGACCCGGAGCTGCTAGCAATTCATGATCAGTGCAGACCACCTACCATCTGTGTAGTCCTCTGATGTGAGGGATAAAAGGCTTTGTATGTCACTGCTCTCTGAATCTGGGGCTTCTTTGTGCGCCAGTTGGCTGTTCCCTGTGCCGGCCACCCAGGAAGAGGTGGTTGCCTGATGCACCATCACAGTCTCTGAGCCCCGAGAGCCCCAATCTTCACATAGTCCAGACTGGCCCGGGGCCTCCTCCTCTCCACCTGCAGAGGAACAGGCCCCCTGGTCCTGTAGCTGCTGCTCTCTCGGCCCGTTCCTCCCACTAGGCCCAGACTCTTCTGACAGCACAATCTGCACTCTGGGGTCAGCGGGCGGCACACAGTGACCAGAACTGCCGTACACAGCCTCCTCATATGATGGTAGTGCAACCTGGACTCCATCTACCATGATGGAGACCTGGTCCCCAGATACCCCGTGGTCACGCCTGCATGGGAGGAAAAAAAGACAAAGGAAGAATTAAAATACACACACAAATAAATGCTGTAACACTAAAAATACCAATCAGTTTTGAGCACTTACTATATGCCAGACACAGCACCGAGTGCTTCATATACTTTATCACACTGAATCCTCACCTGAGCCCTTTCACATAGAGATTCACCAAAAATGCAGATGAGGCTCAGAGAAGTTAAATAACTTGCTCACAGTCACATAGCTGGTGAGGGAGGAAGTTGGGATTTGAATCCAGTTCCACTTGCTTCCAGAGACTGTACAAAACTAGGAATCTAGAGACCTGGGAATAAAGCCATTCATTCGGCACAGGCAGGCTAAGAAAGCGAGAGGATGCGGGTGCACACACCTGTGAGCTGACTAAAACCATCACCTGTATACTCTAAATGGCTACACTGAATGGCCTGCGAATTGTATCTCCACACAGCTATTTTTAAGAAAGGAGAGGAGAGAGAAGCACTGTGGTCTGGAAACGGGATACTGGACTCCCAACTCAGAAGAATTTGGTTCTTCTGACTCTGTCACTTTGCATGCCTTTTTAAATTATTTTTTAACTTTCTAAAGTTTAAAAAATATTATATGTGAATTGTAACACAAATATAGAAAATAACACACAGAAAAATGTGTAACTCACTGATTTATTGCCACACTGATTTAAGGTCACACTGTATAACCCATACCTCGGTCAGAAAGAGAACCCTGCCAGCACCCAGACTCCCTGTCCTGTCCCAGCCGCTTCCCACTTCATTACGAGAAGTAATGGGTATCCTAACATTCATGAAAATCACTCCTTTGTTTTTTAATAGTTTACTGCATACACATGAATCCTCCAACACTATAGTTTTGCATATTTCTGATCTTTCTATCAATGGGTATCCAGTAAATTTGTGTGTATATATGTGTATGTGTCTGGCTTCTTTTACTCAACACTATGTTTGAGGTTTATTCATGTAGACACCTTTCTGGGGATCACCTGTTATGTGCATACACTTTTCTATTAATCCGAACCATTTTGAAAGTAAGTTGGGGAGAAATTATTGAATACACACCTCCCAAGAACTTCTTTCCTATGTAACTACAGCATCACGACACCCAGAAATTGAACACTGGTATAATACTGTAACACAAATTTCCCCAACTAGCCACAAATATATCCTTTTCAGGTGTTGTTCGTTTTTATCCAGGACTCAATTAAGGATCATGTACTGCATTTAGTTGTCCTGTCTCATCTCCTTTAATCCAGAAGAGTCCCCTACAGCTTTTCTTTCATGACAATGACATTTTTTATATACTGCAGGCCAGTTGTCTCCTAGAACGTCCCACCATCTGGACTTGTCTAATTGCTTCCTTGGGACTAGACGCAGGCCGATTTTTGCCTAGAACACTGCAGAGGCACTGTGTCCTCCTCAGTGCATCTCAATAGTAGACGTCTGGTCTAGCAGACGTCTTGTATTGCTAGACTGTTGTTAGCTCTCAGTTTCCTCATCTGCATTTGGGGAGATAAAACCTGTGCTACCCAATTCAAATAGCATGCACACTGTGAAGATGACAGAAGTGGCACTCATGAAAGTATCAGAGGTTTCTGGAAGGAAGGGGAACTTTGACGGCAAGGTGGCATAGAAAGCAGTGTGTATTCTGGCATGTGCTTAATTTTGGTTATTCAAAATAAATTTTTCTTTTTGTTTAAAAAGTAGTACATGTACACAGTACAAAATTTAAATGGGGCTACAATGAAAACCAAATATCTCTTCCACTCAAGTCAGGTAAAATCAGCCAGACTAACTAGTGAACTACAAGGGGGAAAACTCCCTAATTTGAGTGAAATGCCAGAAAGATCAGCTTAAGTCTATGTGGAAATAGCTGATTCTCTCAAGTAAATGGTCCTTTCCAAGTCCTCTTTATTCTATTAATTACTCAACAACCTTAAAAGTAGCTGCTAACCTCTCCCCCAAACAAAACAAAATAAAAAGAAAAGTCACACATAGTACACGAAGATTAAACTGAGTCTGGTCCTTGTGTATAAATTCCAAACTAGGAACATTTTATTTAGCGCACTTTAGTCTGTTCCTTGTGCCTGTGACTGACAACAGTGACTGATGAAGGGCTGTGAATGAACAGAAACTGTTCCAGTTAGAGGGAAGGAGGAACTGCCAGGCAACCCACTCAGTTGGTCTGGGGTGGGGCCTAAAAATTTGCATTCTTAAAAGTTCCCAGGTGATGCTGATTGCTGGAACCACACTTTGAAAACCACTGATGTAGGGGAAATGACATGGTTTTGGAGTTGGGACACATAGGGTTCAAATCTCAGCTCTGTCATCATCTAGAGGGATGACCTTGAGAGAATGACTTAACCTCTCTGTGCCTCAGTTTCCTTATCTGCAATGTTCCTGTGAGGATTAAGATAATGTATGCAAAGCAACAAGCATAGTGCCCAGCATATCCAGGAGTTTACACATGGCAGGGCCCTCCCCTTTCTTTGGGCACCCACAGACCAGAGGCTGGCAGACATACCAGCAACCCTCTGCCAAAGGCCAGCCCTCACTGCAATGCCCGTCACCCACTGCAGCTGGGCTCACCTGCTGTGATGGAAAGACTTCAGCTTTGGCTGCAGCAGCACGAACAGCACCACAAGGAGAAGAATGAGCGCCACGGAGCTGGCAGTGGAAGCCACTATGGACAGCGTGGGGACCCCGAGTGACGTGTTGGTGCCTTTGTCTACAGAAACAAGCCATTATCAGAGGTGATTTGTATCCAGACACACAAAACATTGAGCGCCACAGCTGATCTTATCAAAGGCCCTTTGCATGGTTCCATGCAGAGACATGCCGTAGCTCGGGCCATTTTAGGAGTAACAGTACAGAGCAGCTTATACAAACAAGCAAAGGGGCCACTTCCCTAATCCTGTTCCTGAATCTAATATTCCCCTCGCTATGGGCCTTTGAGGGCCATCTGACACCTAAACTCACTAATGTAGACAGCTTACCTTTATAAACCACTTCTGATCCTGTCCTCAGCAGCCATTAAAAGGACACATCATTCCACCATTTTAGGTCCACCCATCTTTTTCCTCATGTGGCAGGAAAATTGGTAAGAACTGGGCTGTAATCACCCGCTGCTCTAAGATCCTGGGCTCTGGTTGTAACTCTCAGGCTGGTCCCCTCCCTTCTCTGGGGTGTCATGGCCTTGGAGCCCGAGTGTGAAGCATAAAGACGGCTGCATGACACACACACTTTCCTGCAGGCAGCTGACTTTTCTGTCATGCATGACAGGAAGAGCCAGGAGTGGGGAGAGGTCTTCTGTCAGGCTGGACTGCAGCTCCATAACAAAACAGTCCGTTATCATTCAAGAAAAAAATAATATAAAAGAGACACTACAGAAGGTGTTGGCATTATGCTCATGTGTTATCTAGGTAAACAAGAGATTCTGAGCATCAAAGGACCTTACATAGCAGAACAGATGCCTCAGTAAAGCCACCGAGCCCCTCAGTGGCTCAGCTGAATCACAGCGGGACATGCACCAGAAACCCCAAACGTCTTTCACAAAGACATGAAATTCCAAAGGAAGGGAGACTTCAGGGCATCAAAAGGGCTATACTACCCCACAGCACAGGATGTTCCGGAGAAAGTGGGCGCCACTTCCCGTGAGTTAAAAGAAAAGCAGAACTCCTTTCTCATCTGCCAAACTGACCTTCGTTGAGATGGCAGCTAATCTCCATGGCTGGTTTCCATTCGCCATTCTTACATGTCAGGTATTTGTAATCGCCCTTCAACATGTAGCCTTCAGCACATAGGTACTCGATGACGCTGCCCGAGTTCAGGGGGTCTCTGCAGGGCCGAGGGTGGCAGACATAGCCACCATTCTCTGGCTCCGGTGGCAGGGAACACACTGCAAAGACAAAGAGGGTGGTGAGGTTCTCCAGTGGGAGTGCTTTCAGTGATGCCGAAGGGGACAGTTCCAAAGGGCTCAACAAGAAACACAAGAGGAGCAGAGCCGATCAGTCCCTTGGAAAGGCTGTTGGTCAAGCCCTGGAAATTCAGGTTGCCACTGAGAGAGGGAAGTGCGCTGGCAACAAGGGAAGTCTGGCTGCTTGCAAAATTTCCCCTTCCGCTCCCCACTGTTCCTTAAGAGGGCTGCATCCACAATTGAATGGCAGACTGACAAAGTCCCAAACTTAGAGAGATCTAGCACATAATATGGTTTTAATAACACCTAATGAAACACACAATGAATCAGTGAAAGGTGGTAAAATACTCTTAACTTGTGGGGAAAATGTTAGCCTTGTTTCCAATATCAATACCAGAAAGGACTCCACTGTGTAATAAAAATGCACCGTCTCGGCCGCAGAAGGGATTTCTGATGGATTTGCGGGGAGGACCTTCCATTTCCAGACTAGTCACTGGCATTGCTTGTCTCCAGCCCATAGTAAATCCCACATTTTTCATTCAGGTAGGGCTGTCTAGTTTTAAAAGCACCTTCACTTCCTATCTTATGTATTTGTCTGACAACTCCATGAGGTAGTTATCATTGACGCCCCTCTGAGGATGACAAAACTGAGGCCCACAAAAATTAAATGACTTTTAGCTATGCATAAGGCAGAGTAACTGGCAGGCCTGGGAGCAGAGTCAAGTCTGGTTTTAATATCTGTGCTCTTAACACCAGCAGACACTGCTTCTACCCCATGAGCTAATGAAATGTGTGTATCAAGGTTACCTCCCATTCAAACAGGTCAGTTAGGGCCATGGCAAGCGGTGTGGATAAGTTGCAGAAATGGGAAATCAGAGGAACTGGAAGGTCTGAGCAGCTCTAGGGAGGAGAAGGGTGACCTCTGGTTTCATGGCCTGCCCTTCTGACCCTGGACAGACACTGCAGAATTGAAGTCCCCAGGCTGTGGACTATGGGGTGTATGTACTTAGCCAAAATAGGAGGGGCACAGTGTAGACACTAAGGGATCATTGTCTGGAAAGCTAAGCTGGGACAGAAGACACGCTGGCAGGACAGCCAGAAACCCACTAACTTGAACTTTCCATAGCCTCACTAACACAAGAAAGATAAAAGTTTCCAAAGGACATTCGATTTGGCTGACAAATGCCCTGCCTCCATCCTGAATACCACAAGGACATCAGTATGAGAATAGGAACTGCGGGTTTCTTTTTTTCACTTCCTCTAACAGACCTGGAGTCACTGTCTATCCCAGATAGGTGCTCTCCTGTTCAGAGGCCCACCCACCATTCTCTCACTCAGCGGTATCTCACTAAATACCACTTCCCTTCAACCTACAAACTGTTATTAAGCAAGCTGACTGCTGGCCAGGCTGGGGGTGGATAACAAGTCTAAAAGGAGACAATGGCTCCTGCCCTCCAGCTGCTTATCACTAAGAGAGAAAAGACTCCATTTTTTAACAAAACAAAGCTGGGGTATAGGTGACACAGGGATCCCGAGAAGTCTGAGCAGCGGCTCTGAAACTAGCAGATGAGCCCAAATAAGTCTCCTCAGTCCCCTCTAGAGAAACACTTTTTCCAGCCGGTTCCCACACCACCCACCTCGCCCAAGTCTTCAACAGAAGGGAGACAGACACAAACATGCATTCTGGAGCCTATTTAAGCTTCAGCCAAGTAGTTCAAAGAGCTGGCCAGCTGAATTTCCAAAGAAACCTCAGCAAACTGTTTCACCCTTTATACTTTCCCTCTTTTGTTCAGGGCAACAAACCTGCCACAGATCCCCCTGGCTCTCCTACTATGTCTAATTGGTTCATTTCCTCCGCATAATTAATGCCGAGCACCCCAGGGCAGCTCCTGAAAGCAGGCAGGACCCACACACTGTCCAGTGTGCTGGGAAAGATGGTCTCAGGGGAAGAGCTGCTCCTGCTTTGCTGGGAATTTCTGCCCATAAAGCCCACATCTTCACAGAATCTTTGAGCAGGACCCTGAAGGTCACTAGCACTCATTTTATAAAAAAAAGTGAGGTCTACAAAGAAGTAACTTGCAATTCAATTTCATTTCAATTCAACTAATATTTATTGATTACTGTGTAGGGGTCATTGTGCCATGCTCTGAAAAAGGATAAAAAGATAAACACTTCAGGTACTTGTAGCCAAATAGGGATATAACAAATAAGTGCACACATATATTTTAAGTCATTTTCTTTCTGGCTCCTGGGTTTTGTGTCTTGTTTAAGGACACTTTCCTTACTCTGGGGTTATACTCTCTATTATTTTCTTATAGCGTTTTACAGATTGGATCTTTGTTATGTATATAATACTTTCACAGAAAAAAAACCCCACAGGAAGTATATACACCTGGTATAAAATTAAAAAACTAAGAAGGGTGTACAGTCAAAAGTAAGCCCTTCTCCTGTGCCCTAGTTACTCAGTTCCTTTCTTTAAAGGCACTGTACCAGTTTCTTCTGTATTTTTCCAAAGATATTCTACATATAGATTTATTCTAATACATGTAAAGAATGTGATTGGTGCTATAAAAGAGGGAGCTCAAAGCAGGAGAGATCATATCTTGTGTGGGGGACATGAGGAAAGGCCCATGGAGGAAGCAGCATTTCAAACGGGACTTGATGTCCTCCGGAAAGGAGGTGGTAGTCTGAAGCAAATACACCGAATAGGAAAGAGTAGGTTAAGTCCAAGGTAGTGGCCCAGGTTAGCTTGGTTGCATAATATAACAAAGAAAAATTGCTCCCCCTCCAAACATGTAAAGAGCAATGAAACCACCTTGTAGAGGGCCTTGACTGCAACAAGGGGTGTTCCCACTATAGCCAAATGGCAAGCGGGGCCTCTGAAGGGTCTCCAGAAGGGCAGGATTACAAGAGAAGCTAAATTTGATATAAGATGGACCAGAGGTACAGCAACCCTAGTATGGTAAAATCATACTGGACAAAAGTTCTTTTATGTTGACCTATGAAGGTCACACAAAGGAAACAAAAGTATATAAGGTCCAGCATCGTAAAGAGGCTGCCCCTGGTCCAAGGAAAAAAAATGAGGAGGACTTAGAAGAAAAAAAAAAAAAAGGCAAGGTCATTTTAAGACACCAAGAACACAAGAAAAAAATACAGCCCTCTTGCCCAGTCAAAGAGAAGAGTGGGAGAGTCTTGGCAGAGGGTGGGTGTTGGAGAGGACCCTCTCAATGACGCACCAGGCTAGCGGGAAAGATCAGGACGAGCAAATCAATCACCCAGTGGCTTCCCGAAGCCAGTGTTCTGGGCAAGAGGCTGACTTAATCTGAGCATCAGGCTTGCTCTCTGACAACCCCAGGTCCGCACAGGGAGTTTCAAGCTCTGTTCTTGACCTCAAGAAGACAATAAACTCATCTCATTTGGCAAAGCTATGTAATTTTAAAAAGAGAGGGAGAAAGCCAGAAGATAGAAATTTTACAGAAAAAAAAAATCAATTCTCCTTTGCTTCCTTCTCTGCTTTCCATTATCTCTTTCAGCCACTTAGGCTTCCAGCGAGCACAGGAAGCAGTGAGGTAATTCTTCAGGGGCCCAGCAGAGTGCCTGGCGCACAGTAGTCATTCAGTGACAGACCATCCAGCCAGCTGGTGACAGTGCAGATGGAGGAGAAGCAAAATGATCTGGCTGATACTTCCACCGCGGCGTCACCACAGCCTAAAACCCTCAGTGGAAACCAGCAAGAACCCTCAGTCAGCTCTTCAAATGTTTTTTGCATTTGTTGTTTTGGGGACTAGCTTTTTAGGAAGTCGCAGCAAATTAAAACAAAACAAACTTTCATTAAGAGTCCATAAAAAGCAAATCAAAACAAGCTCTAGGAAAGGCCCCAGGGTCACAGTGTTCAGTTTAACAAACTGAATAAATACTTGATCCCCTTGAAAAACGAGGCATGGGGAGTAGGGCATGTGAAGATCAGCTTGAGGAAAGGAAGCAGATGTTTAAATTCCTAGTGCATTTTTTTTAAAGATTTTTATTGGGGAATTGGGGGGATGGGAACAGTGCTGGGGAATTGGGGGAAGGGGAACAGACAAGTTGCTGTCCTTTTGTTC